TTGTTTAACAAAAATAAAAGTTTAAAAAAAAAAAAAAGAAAAAAGGTTTTTAACTCATTTGCCTTGCCGGCAAATTTTGCAAATAGCTCTTCCCCACTTCATTTTAGTAAAAAACAAAAACAAACAAAAAAACCTGAGAAAGAAATTTGAAAGTTAAATGACCCCAAACTGGCATTTAACACTGTTTATAAAAAAAAGTATATATATGTATATATATATACACATACATATATATATATAAAATGAAAATCGTTTCAGAGTTGCTAAAGCTTCAGTTTATGACATTAAGTTTATGAAACTTCTAAAAATTGACTTTTTTGGAGACTATTATGCTGAAGAAGATGGTGTAGTCTGTTTTGTGATGAGGAGACGGGCTGTCAGAATGTCTTTCCAGGCCCGGCGGGTGTAATTGTTTACTGCCTATTGGATTTTTTTCTGTTAACATTGAAAGGCAAAATCTTGATTATTTAGCATGAGAAAAAAAAATCCAACTCTGCTTTTGGTCTTGCTTCTATAAATATATAGTGTATACTTGGTGTAGACTTTGCATATATACAAATTTGTAGTATTTTCTTGTTTTGATGTCTAATCTGTATCTATAATGTACCCTAGTAGTCGAACATACTTTTGATTGTACAATTGTACATTTGTATACCTGTAATGTAAATGTGGAGAAGTTTGAATCAACATAAACACGTTTTTTGGTAAGAAAAAAAGAATTAGCCAACCCTGTGCATTCAGTGTATATTCACACCTTTTATGGTCGTAGCATATAGTGTTGTATATTGTAAATTGTAATTTCAACCAGAAGTAAATTTTTTTTCTTTCGAAGGAATAAATGTTCTTTATACAGCCTAGTTATATGTTAAAAAAAAAAAATTAGCTTGATTTTATTTGTCACCTAGTCAGATAGTAGCAAGATCCTTTCTAAATGTTATTCAAGATGATTCAGTTCACAGTAGTGTTTTTTTAATCCTAAAAACGTAATGTTTTGCTTATTTTGTGACAGTCAAAAGGATGTGCAAAGTTCAGCCCTGCCCTACCTTTCCTTACAGAAGCCCTCCCACCTTGTAAAGTGTGAATCACCCTTCCTTTTTGTACAGAAGATGAATTGTATTTTGCATTTTGTCTACTTGTAAGTGAATGTAACATACTGTCAAATTTCCTTGTTTGAATATAGAATTGTAACACTACACGGTGTACATTTCCAGAGCCTTGTGTATATTTCCAATGAACTTTTTTGCAAGCACACTTGTAACCATATGTGTATAATTAACAAACCTGTGTATGCTTATGCCTGGGCAACTATTTTTTGTAACTCTTGTGTAGATTGTCTCTAAACAATGTGTGATCTTTATTTTGAAAAATACAGAACTTTGGAATCTGAATTTGTGCTTTAACTTTTTTTTTCCCAATATAGTGCCCTAGGACAGCCCTTTCCTTGTTGGTGCCTTTCTTTCTGTTTGTTTTGTTTTTGTTTTGTGAGAGGATGGGTAGGAGGGGGAGAGAATTGGAATAAGGCCGGGTTGTCAAACTGATGATTCTTGAGCCAGATTTGACCCAAGGATGTTGGGTTTAGTCTGCCCCGTGCTTTCAAAATCAAGACACTCCACATTTGTCCAGATTTCCAACTTCTACTGAAAAATCAGAGAAGAGTATTCACCTCCCTGGGCCCAGAGCATTCTCAAAAAGCTTTCGCCCTGCAATCGGCCCTGTTCTCTCCTTGTGATCGTCACTGCCTCTTCCTGGCCTTGGCAGGATTTGTGAGCCTGGGTCTAGATTAGAATGCGATCAATTTCAAATGTCTCCCAGCAAAGTGTTGGGGCACCTAATTTTCCAAGGCCGGGCTGTAGATAAGGCATCTGGAAGGCTGCCCAGTCTTCCCCCTCCTGAGGTCCCCTTTTCTCTCTGGCTGCTCCTGTCCTTACCCTGTCCACCAAGCCCACACGCAGGCCGGCCCAGGCTGTCCCAGTGTCCTAGCTTGCTCATCTTAGCCTCCAACTGGGGACCTCCTCCATCTTTTAGTACAGGAGGCTCTAGCTCACTAGTCCCTGTCACCTTTGCCTGAGGATGCCCACTTTCCCTCTTTACTGCCCTTACTCCAGAAGCTACTTTGACAAAATCTGCCACTAAAACATTAGTCTGTTGGCAACTAAAGAATGAGCTTGGCCGGGGAGGTCAAGTGGGAGCCACACTACCTCATGTCTGAAGAGGAGCCTCCAGGTGTCTGCAGAAGGGAACTTTGCATGGCCCCCTCTCAACGGTATGGGATTGTCACTAGCAGGCCCTGCAGTCCCAGGAATAAAGGGAGGGAAAGGAAGCTGATATATGTAGGTTTCAGATCCAGAACCTGAGTTTGCTTTTTTTGGTGGCTGTAATCGGGTCCTTTCCCAGCCTTCTCCTGCTGCAGCAGCCATTGTGGGCCCATCAGAGAGAGCCTGCTGGGGGCATGGTAAACCGGCTCCGGAATCATCCTGGGTTCAAACATGGGTCCCGCCACTCTGTGTGTGTGCTTGGCTGTTACTTCCCCTCATCTTCAGCCTCTCTGGAAATGAATTGAAAGTGATAATAATACATGTGAAGTAGTTCTCACATCATGCCACGGAAAGGTATAATTAAGGTTTTACTAGACCCTTGCAGAGTCAATGTACAAAGTAGTTGGCTTGGATTTCTTTCCCATTTGCTTGCTGTCTTTGTGACCTTGGGAGACTAAGTGAGCCTGTTTGAGCCTGTTTCCTCTTGTAAGATTGGTGTAATGCCTTGTGGAGCTGTGGTGGGATAGAATTGTTGATGAATGTCAAGTGCCTGGCACAGGCACTCGCGTGCTGGTTTTCTTTTCTACCTGGACTGTTTATACTTACGCTCTGGAGTTTTTCTCTCATACTCTTAGCATTTAATGAAATGTTTTTTGTGGTATTTTTTTAGTGGTAACAAAGCAAGATACTATGTTAGAAACGTGATCACCCCTCCTTCCCTTGTTTCAAGCCTGTGTCTTTGAGGCTTTTCAGTCGCACAATTAAAGGGTTTAATTTCAACTGCCTTTTATGACGTGGGTTCTCTCTCTGAGGCCAAGTTTCCCTTTCTGTCAAATAAGGAAAATAATAGTACCTATGTCAAAGGTTGATTGTGAAGATGAAATTATGTAGCTTACTTAGAGCAGTATCCAGCGCATTGGTATAATAAATGAATGGTATTTATCATCTTTTACCTCTAGCATTACTCCTCCAATGGCTGTGCATAGGTTTTGGTGAACAAAACAATCCTTGTCCATTATGTAAAGTTTACGTGAAGTAATTTATTGTGAACTGACTCTGTGCCAGGCACCTAAAGAGATGGTTTATACATGTTCTTTCACTCTTCATAACAGTCCCATGAGGAATGTAGTTATCCCCATCTCATTGATAAGGAAACAGGTTCTGGGTTCTGATACGAGTCTTTGGCTGAGACCAAATCTGCGTCTGAGGCTTTGCCCCTTAGCCTAGATTCCCCCTCTGCAGAACTGAGTTTCTTGGAGCGGGCTGAATTCTGGGCTCAGCGTCTACTTCCTCATTTGACTGGCCACCATTCCCACTCCTACCAAGTCTGCCCCAAAATGTGATGTCCTGGGCTGCCACCAGCTAGATACCTGCATTCTTGGTCTCTCTTGCCGAGTCCCTCCAAGACAGATGACACACAGTTTGTGTAATAACCCTTTACCCGATCGCAGTTCTTTATAGTTTTCAGAGCACGTTCATATTTGTGATTCCTTTGATCCTCATGAAAGCCTTAGGGAATTAGGTAGGGTAGAGGTTATCAGCCCATTATACAGATGAATCTGAAACCCAAACTGCACAATGAGTCATTAACCAAGTAAGCATTTTATCTGAAGGAGCATTTGTGGGGAGGAAACGTGTGACTTCATGTAGTTACTAGAAGTAGCCACACGAGGGTGCTGCTGCCTAAAGAAAGCATTGTACACGGCGGCCTAAGGGTTCAAGGTGCCAAAGTCGGGGCTGGGATAGCTTTTTCCTGGCTTGAGGAGTTACCAATACCACCCAGAGACCAAAGTAGTTGGCTTGGATTTCTTTCCCATTTGCTTGCTGTCTTTGTGACCTTGGGAGACTAAGTGAGCCTGGCATCTGCCCAAAGACCAAGCTTACCCTCTTTCTTCTTCTCTTCCCAGCTTCTCCTTGGCGTAGGGCTAGTCCCTCACTCCAGCTTAGGATATCAGGGCATGGTCACAGATCTGGCTCACGGGCTCTAGCTTTGCCTTTGAGTCACCTGTGTTACCTCCGGCAAATCACTGACTTTGCTGGGCCTCAGTTTCCCCAATTGTCACCCGGAATGGTAGCCCAGCCCTGCCACCCTCACAGGGCTGGTGTGAGGTCAGATGGTTGGGGCCAAGGAGGGCAGTCCCATGCCTGTTAATGTGATCTGAGGCCCTGGTCCCCTTTTCTGGGGCTACATCCCTGACTTATACACCAAGGTTTCAAACAACTAAAACCAGATCCTAGCTCCACCAGCCCTATGTGGCGTATGTAAGGCATTTGCCCCCTTATTC